GACCCACTGGGTCTACACCATTGCCTGAAGTGGATGAGGTGTATTCCCATTATGCCAAGCGTGGAAAAGGCTGTGGCCCTATTCGTGGTCGTGGTCGTAGTCATGGTCGTGGCCGTGGCCGTGGACAAGGAATAAATTTTCCTGGTGTTAATCACCCCCCCAAAGAAAAATAACCACCAAAAGTGGAAAGGGAAAGAAGAGAAGCCAAAGGCAAATGGTTCAGAAATCGAATGTTATCGTTGCGGTGGAAAAGGGCATTGGCAAATATTTGTCGTGTACCAAGACTTTTGGTTGAGCTTTATCAAGCATCTCTAAAGAATAAAGGCCCTGAAGCCAATTTTGTCTCTGACAATAATTTTGACATCACCCACTTGAATGTGGCAGACTACTTTGAGCGCCCTGATGGAAAAATAGACCACTTGATCGGTGATGGATCTGTGGTTAAAGATGATTGAGTAGTTTAATTTCTATTGTTGCCTATTCGTAGTAGCTAGTGAATAAACATCATGTAATCACAGTTCTTTACATGAGTAGTAGTCATTAGTATCAATTAGTACTATTTATTTTATGGGATAATGTTAGTTCATTTTGATTAAATATAGTTATAGTATTCGTTTTAAACAATGTTTCAGTTTGCTTAGTTTTTCGAGGATTAACATATTCTTTACTAAATTAAGGTTGTGATTTGAAAAGAATATCTAGTTACTTGAGTTGAAAACAAAAAGATTTACTTTGAAAGATTTCACGTAATTAGAGAATGAAGCCAAATTAATGCGAGTATATTTGCAAGTGAATTACGTTATCACGTTATTAGTGTCCAATTGCCCATTATATGATTTGAATGGAACGTCAATTCATTTCTTTATTACTACACCAAGTTAATCATTGATTGCCTTGCTCTTTTACAGTTCATTTGAATTTGAGCTAACTTTGAAAGTGAAAATACTACTTCTCTACTACTAGCATGATGGAAACTTTTAAGAAAGTGATAAGTGTAACTAAAGTACGATTGTATTTTTAGCTACATAATGGTTTGAATCATAATGAGAGTTTGCTCGAAATGGCATTAAAGTCATTATTGAATCAATAATTTATCTTTGTTTCTTTCCCTTTATATCTGAAAATACTAATATTTATTCGCGTATTTTTTTTGTATGTCAAATCATGGGAAGCAAATATGAATACCTCACAAAGCAAACTTGGGTCAAAGTTTAATTGTAATAATATTTGTTTAATTGATCCATGTACGACACATACAATATTCAAAGAGAAGAAATATTTTTCTCATTTAAGTATGTGTAAGGCAAATGTTACTACAGTTTCTGGTAGTAGTAATTTAATTGAAGGCTCTGGAAGAGCTGCTATAACTCTACCCAAGGAACAATACTTATCATAGATAATGAAATCTTCT